GCCACATCCCCAGCCCCTCTAAGCAAAGATTTTTTTAGTAACAGAAATAAAATAAGTCAACACTATGCCAATGTTCTCCAGCCCCACCCCCAACCCGATTCCCACAGTTTAAAGGGTTTTATTTATTTATGGTGGGGTTTTTTTTTGTTTGTTTGTTTGTTTTTTTTTTTTTTTGGCTTTTTTGGAACTGGAGGTTGAACCCAGGGCTTTGCAAATACAAGGCAGACACTTTGCCACTGAGCTACATCCCAGCCCCCCACAGTTTAAATAAAGTAAAAAATATATATATATGGCCCAGGCACAGTGGCATACAACACCTGTAATCCCAGCAACTTGGGAGGCTGAGGCAGGAGGATCAGGAGTTCAAATCCAGCCTCAGCAATTTAGCAAGGCCCTAAGCAAGATAGCAAGACCCTGTCTAAAGGTAAAAAGTAAAAAGGGCTGGGGATGTGGCTCAGCGCCTCTGGGTTCAATTCCTAGAACCAAACCAAACCAAACCAAAGCAATATGGGTCCTTTGAAAGGTCTTTACTAGGACCCAGGAGGGCCGAGTGCAGGGCATGCTAAGAATTGGCTGTAGAAGAGGCACATGGACTCCCTCCAAGGGTGAAGGAGGAAGACTTTCAACAAAGCATGGCTGAATACTGGCCTGTTTGTTGTACAAGCTGGTGAGCTCAATGAGAAGTCAGGGCTGACCTTGGGATCAGCTCTCACAGGAGATCCCCCTACAATCTGGTGCTCATTTGCAGCACCCACCTGCTTGTCCACCATCCTCAGCGACCGGAAATAGGAGTACAAGAAGGTGTCTTTGAGCATCAGTGGATTCTGGATGGCCAGTTCTCTCAGAAAATGGTCCTCAGCACTGGAGTCCTCCACCAGAGCCCAGGGTGAGTGGGGACTACGCACCAGTCCCAGCAGGGCCTCCACAGTCTCCTCCCCTGGGCTCACCGTCTCCTCCTCCCTGGGAGTCAGCTCCCTCCAGGTTCGCCATGTTTGAGGAAGAAAACGCGACCTGTTCTGCAGTGTTGGAGGTGGAGAATTTCATTAGGTCTGACATGTCCTTGTAAAGAAACTCAGTTGTAAGACTAGATGACTGAGGATAAAGAATTTAGAAATCTCGATGAGCCACCAGTAATTTTGGCTGATGATTAGCCATGATATGAGTACAGATAAAGGTCCAATTCCTGTCTCTGGGAGATTAATTACATATCTGACACAATCTATGCAATTCATGAGGCTCAACAGGCAATGGCGGGGGATATAAAGATATAATCAAGGAAAAATTTTTCAAGAGGAAGTAGCAAGGCTGAAAAGGTAAGCCCAGGAAAAGGTAAATTCAGGAAGTGGAAGATGAAAGAGTGCTTTTCCCAGAATTTACTCTCTCCCACCCCTACCTCCAGAAGAGGTGCAGTCTGAGCATAAAACCCAGAGTCTTACATGCTAGGCAAGCACTCTACCACCAAGCTACAGCCCCAGTCCAAGATGCATCTTTGAAACCCTAAAGCTTAGCAAATAGTAGGTGCTCAACCAACATCTGACTAAGCAAATCAATGAATGCTCTCAGTTTTCCTATGAAAAGGGAACACCAGCTTTCCTAGGCTCCTTTCCATGGAGTGATGGGGTGGCCCCAGCCTCTGGCCCATTCAGAACTCTCAAGACATTCCTGAGCACACTGGCTCTTGTCCCCACCCTGTGATGACACCCCACCTAGGTGAGGACAACAGTTCCTGTGGCCCCACTGAACAGATTCTGTCTGCAGGGTCAATGTACAGATTGAAGCTTGAGAGAAAAGGACCTTCATGGGCAGCAAATTTTCCTCTTTCACCCTGTTTTGAGGCTCCTCAACACTGCATTGCTCTCTGTCTCTCCCCGGCAGGGAAGGGTGGGCCAGAGGGTGCACTGCTTAGCCTTTTGAGCCCTCAGGTTCTCCTCCAGGAGGGAAGCTTCTAGACAAACAGAAAGTGGCAGAGCCTTCCCAGCCAAGCCTCAGAAGGGGAGGCCCATGCCTCTGCAGCCTCAGGGCCCAGGTGGAACCATCTCCCGCACGTGGCTCTGGGGCTCCACGAAGCCAAGAAACTTCACCCAGTCAGAAGCACCTGCATGATGCAGACTGGCCTGCTGTGCTCAGGATGGGAAGGTGCCAGGTCTGCACCCTGAAGTCAGTGCCCCCAGGCCCAGGCGGAGCTTCCTCTGCCCACACCTTGAGCTTCAGGGTCCCCTTAGTCCACCCTCCTCGCCCAAACACTAAGAACTACCCCTCCTGGGGCGTCTCGGTCAGCCACCTGCTGTGTGTGGGCGCTGCCAGTCTCCAGGGCCGTCCCCCGGGCCGTCCCCCAGGCCCTCCCAGCCCCCCTTCGCACCCAGCTGCCTATGCCGCAGGGAAACTCGTGCAGACACAGCTTCCGCAGGTGCACCCGCACCACCTCGCTCAGGGTCTCCGGGGCGCTGCGACTGCCGCTGTCGCTGTCGCTGTCGCTGCCGCTGGCCGGGGGCTGCTCCATGCCTACGGGTGGGAGCCGCCAGCTTCCCGCGCTGCTAGGCAACGCCCGACGCCTGCACGCCCGCGCTGCTAGGCAACGCCCGACGCGCCTCGCGCGTCGCACCGGCTCAGCCCCCAGCCCCTGGCACTGCCCCGACCTCCTCCGTGAAGGCTGGTTCTTGTCCCCACCCTGTGATAACGGATAACGCTGGGCCAAGAGGCTGCGGGCGCGACCGACCGCCGGTCCTCTCCCCCTCCCAGGGGCTCCGAGCGGAGAAGCGGGTTATTAAGGGCCTTTGGAAGATCTGGGAAGGCGGAAAGAGCCCAGGGTCACGCATCTCCAGTCGGGGGGGTTCCAGTGTAGGTCGCTCTGACCCCGGAGCCAGGGGGTCGTCACTGTGGAACCCGAGACTGTTTTGGATTGTTCTGGTCGCACTGAAGCTGGGCTTGAACTTGTGGTCCTCCTGCCTCAGCCTCTCGAGTTGCGGGGATAATAGGTGTGTGCCACCGTGACTGGCTCTGAGCACCTTTTAGTATATGCACGATATTACAGTTTTTGTAATGTAACCTTCGCTATGATTTTCAACGTTTCCCCTCAATCTACAAGGAACCCTGTGCCCATTAAGCACTCAAACCCCATATCCGCATCTGCTCAGTCTCCAGCAAAAATGCTCTCTCCATCTTCATGAATTTGACTATTCCCTGTAATTGGTAAATGCAGCATCTGTGTTGAGACTTAATTTATATCCATAAAACTCATCCATTTAAAGTGTACAAATTTGTGATTTTGGGGGTTATTGGGCTTCAATCCACAAGTGGTCTACCAGCAAGCTACACCCACAGCCACACACACCCCTTTTTAAAAATAGTGAAATGACTATTAAAACATAGATATTTTATATAGAGGAATCATATACAGTATTGTTCTTTAGTATCTGGTTTCTTTCACTTAGTGTGATATTTTCAAGGTTCATCTGCGATGGAGTGTGTATTGATGCTTCAGTTTTTTATAGCTAAGTAATATTCCATTGTGTGAATAGACCATATTTTATGTGTTCATTCATCAGTGAATGGATACTTAGATTGTTTCCACTTTGTGCTATTTTGAATAATGCTGCTATGAACACTGGTGTACAAGATTTAGTGTGAACATGTTTTCACTTTTGAGTAGATACCAAGAAATAGAATCACTGGGTCATTTGGTAACTATATTTTTAATATTTTGAGGAACTGCCAAACTGTGTTGCATATCTGCTCCACCATTTTTTAAAAAATTTTTATTTGTTAATGGATCTTTATTTTATTTATTTATATGTAGTGCTGAGAATCAAACCCAGTGCCTCACATGTGTGAGGCAAGCACTCTACCCACTGAGCCACAACCCCAGCCCATGGGCTGCACCATTTTATATTCACATCAG